ACCAGAGCTCCTTCATATCTAGGCCAGTGGTTCCCAAATATGGCTGATTCACTGGAATCATCTGAGATACTTTTTAAAAATACAGATGTCTCCTCTTCTGCGTACAGGCTTCTGATTGAATAGGTTTGGGATGAGGTCCTGAAATCTGCATCTTTATATGCTTCCCAGGTGACTCTGATCATCAGGCTACCTTACTACTTACAGAAGGATAGAAACAAGGGCTGTATCAGTCATGAAAAGCTAATTGGAGCCTGGATTTGAATTAATAGAATTTAAAAGGAGAAATACTGAAGCAGCAGCTAATAAAGGGATAACTAGGAAGGGAAAGTCCCTGGGTGGCTCAAACGATGAACCATTCAGCTGAAAAGCTGGACCCAAAGCATCTCAGAAGACAGACCTGGTGATCAACCAAAACTGGCCACTGAACACCCATGAAGCACAGTTCTATGCTGATATATGTGGAGTCACCACGAGACAAAACTGACTAGATAGCAACTGGTAAGTAACTAGGAAGGAGCTCTGTTATAGCACATCTTATAAGTCTAGCAGAGGCATTTAGACTCCACAGCATGGTAACAAGGAAACACACAGTTTCTGGACCATGGGGAACATGATCAGAGTGGTACAGGATAAACCAATCAGCAGGCAGGCATCTGGGCCCAGGAAGGGCAACTACAAGGCTGCTGGGAGGCACATGCTGGCAAGGCTCTGATAAAGAAAAAATGATACAAGTCTGAATGGTTCACTAGAATGTAAACTCCAAGATGGCTAAGCGTTTGCCTGATTTGCTCATTGTGTAGGTCCCAAGTAGGAGTCTCTGGGTGATGCAAATGGTTAAGTGCTTGGCTACTAACCAAAAAGTTGGCAGTTCAGGTCCAACAAGAGGCACTTAGAAAAAGAGGCCTAGCAATCTACTTCTGAAAGGTCACAGCCATGGAAAATTCTATGGAGTACAGTACTACTCTGACATACATGGGGTTGCCATGAGTTAGAATCAACTCAAGGGCAAATGGCAGATCCCAAGCAACTAATATGTGCCAGAAGTCAACAAAGAGCAATGAGTCAAGGATTTCATTATTCCGATTCAGAGACTAGAAGATGACAGTCCTGGCGTGATGGGCACAAGCATAGCAAGGACTGTGAGGATGACACGGGACTGGGTAGTGTTTCTTTCTGTTGTACACAGGGTCTCCGTGAGTCGGAGCTGACTCGAAGACAACTAACAACAACTGCAACAATGGACCGAGAAAGAGAAATGAGAGTAGCATGTTTTCAGAAAAGGCTCTTCTCCATGACTTTTTGTTTTTCTCCAAAACTTTATTTTGGCTTCTAGTCCACAGAAGAACTATGTGATTTTGAGATACCAGAATGGACTATTGACAGTAGCATGAATGGTAGGTCTTCTTCCTTGCAAAGAAGAATAGGATGGTTGAGACCTTTCAGTCTGATTGTTGGCAACGGAGGAGAGAAAACGCAGTAAGACTCTAAACTCAGATGACATTTCTCAGGGGACCTATTAGACCACTGCCAGCAAGCATGCCAATGGCACAGGGGTTTGACTACACTTCCCATAAACCTTAATGACAGAGCTGGTTGATCTCTGTGTGGCTGGGTCAGCCTCAGGGGCCTTGCCAACCTGAAGACACTGTACCTACAGCTGGCCAGTCAAGTCTCTGGAGAGCTGATAACTTATATGAGGCTTGTTACCCTTTCAAACAGTTAAGTGGAACAAATGTTCAGGACAAAACCATGCACGTGAACACAAGCACACACACGATTTGATTTCCTGATAAAGTTTAAAAGTATTTCTGCCCAGGGAAAAACTAAAGTATCTTCTGAAATCCCTTCCAAATGAATGATTATCCAAGGTGCCACTTGAGTGATTCCACTACAGTCGACAGAAGACTGCCAATCGAGTGGTTGAGCACTCTTAAAATTAGATGCACCAGGTCCCAGAAGTGGGACCATGCTCAAAATCCTTCTTGGACATCCACCTTCTGGAGCTTGACCTTAGGAGATCTTTCCTTCCTTCTTCAATGATGTCTACCTCCTGCTAAAATCCAACTAACAGAGAAAAAGCACTCGTCTCTATAAATTTCCTAGCAAAAGTAAGTTGCTTCACTCCCAGAACAGCCAAAATATTTATTTTTAAAAGAACCGCAAAAGGCTTTATGATGACAACTTTATTTTTCCTTCTAATGCAAACTTTCCAAAGCCTGCCTTTCACAATGTACTAAGAGATAATGCATGGGTCAGATGACTTCAAAGTTTCATTTACAGACATCTAAACATGTGTATAAAATGCCACCACTTCAAAACGCTTCCTTTTCTTAAACATATTTCCAGTTCAAAGTGTGTGTTTATATCAGTCTGCAATATATTATTTCTAAAGATAAACAGTCATATAAAAAAACGGGTAAAGAAACAGCAGCATATCACTACCGCCACACTCAGTCAATCTTTCCCCTTACACCGTGTTCCAGAAGTGAAAGCCCTAACCTGCTGGTGGAAAGTATGAATGCATCACCATGAATGTCTTTCCCTGGCAAAGCACAGTGGCTGTCTCCAGCGTCCATAAGGGAAGAGCCACCGGTTCCTCTTCACAGCCGGCTTGGAGACTTAGTTCCTGAGAACCTGTCTCCCACCGCCACCCCTCCCGCTAAGTATAAAACTCAAGACTTCAACCACTGTAAAATTTTTTTTCTTCTTTTTAAAGAGAGGCTTTAAGCTGTGCTGATCACTACTTCTAAATCCCAGGAAATAGCTGCAGTCTGCGAATTAAAATACAAAGTGCTAGAAATAATGCACTATATGGCTAATTTTTTTTAATGAAGTGTTTCAACTTGGTGCATATTTATGTTTACATACATGAAACAAATAGGACCTGAAGAATAATTTAAATGAATAAATTAGACACTCTGGACTTTGAAATAGCTTCTATAAGACTGACTCACAACCCAACAAAGACTCTGCTAGAGTCCCTAAACTGATAGTTCAGAAGTCTCTAATCACCCCCTTTGGATGTTATTCCAATTATTGTAAACAGTGTATCACAGTGAGGCAGCTCACTCTGGAAGCATCCAATTTTGATTTGAATAAAGAGAATATATTAATAAATATTAAAATATCAAAGACACAGAATTCAGAGGAAATGTGTCACCCAGAAGGTGGACAGACATATAGTTCAGCCTAAAAGCTTCCTTAAGGAGAAATGTGATTTATGCAAAAATCCAGAGTGGCAAGAAGACAGTCATTCTTTCTCTAGAATCTCTTGACAGTAACATTTCCTAACAAATCCCTGAAACCCCACTGAAAAGGACTCAGCAAAAAGGTTCAGCTTTTTAGACAGGCTTCTCTTGGAAACCTTCAGATGAAGTTCTCCCTTTGGCCTGTTTTGCAACAAGATGAGCAATAATGTTTTTCTGAAATAGAGAATCTCTCCCTCTTTCTGTACACCAAGCCAAAGTTCTTAACTGGCTGGGCAAGCACTAATCACAATGGATTTAAACCATCATTTGCTAACGACAAATACTGATAAGGCTCGGCGCTCTATTTCCCAGCCTACACACCCCAATACTTATCTGTTCAGTATAGATTACAATTTTACATGCTCTCCAATCCCCAATAACGTTTGGGGACCTGACTGAAAATGCCCATCCGCCGCCGCTCAGCGCCCAAGAGGTTTCCCAATCCTAAATTGCTCCAGATCAAAACCGGGAAAGAGGATGAAAAACTCACGAAAACCTCATGGTAACATAATTTTTCTCCAAAGAGTTCAGTTAATTGCAAATGAGCAAGCTATGAGGGAGCAATAAGAACGGACATGGGACTAGAAAGAAAAGAAACAGCAGCACTGCCTAACCGAGACCCTCGGGGGCACGGAGGCTACATATAGACAACTGGGGGTGCGGGGGGCTGCCACTTGGCCAAAACGAGGTCGGGGAAGCCAAGTAGGGGCGGTCACAGACCAAGGGAGGACCAGGAGGTAGACCCCTTTAGGGGGCGCTCATCGGCCGACGTAGGGAAACAAGATCCAGCCCCAGAAACGCTGCCCAAACCGAGAAGAAATCAAGTTCCCACCGCCAGAGCCTGAGAGGAAGGCTTGGTGCCGGCACCCGGCCCCAGCCCGAGAAGACGCCTCCGGACGCGAGAAGCACCCCATAGAGGGCACGAGAGGGCGAGCGTGGCAGGCGGGAAGCCTCTCTCCACGAACGGTAGGAAGACCCGAAGGCCGAATGCAGTTTAACACGCACCTCGCCTCGTCTCTGCATTCAGCGTTACAGTGCAACTGGTATTAAAATGTCTCCCAGCTCCTAAGGCCCTGCCGGCCGCCCTCCGCCCTTCAAAGTCGAGGGGAGGTCTCCACGGGACTCGAATTGCAGTCCCGGGCGTCCCAGCTTTTCGGCGCTTTCCGCGCAACCCCCGCGTCACGCTGCGGGACCGCAGACTGCGCCTCCGAGGGCAGCGTTTCCACGTAGTGTCGGCTACGTCGCCTCAGACAAAAGAACTTTTGCAAACTTTTTTCTCTGGACGCGTGGGGTTTCTTCAATCTGGGCCCCACCTCCCCAAAACTTGTAATCAGTAAAGCAGGCAAAATGGCTTGAGGGATGGAGGGACCCCAAAGTATCCATCTCATCTCTGGGTGCGAACCCGTTTCCTCGCGGGCTCTACCCGAGCTCCCATCTCCCCCGCCTTGAACCTCCCAGAGCAACGCAGCAAGACCACCCCCCTGCTGGGGAGGCCAAAGAAGTTGGGATTTACTTATGGGGCCTCTGAGACTCTTGCACTCCCATTCTGGGAACCACAGGGCAACTTCTAGCACGCGTAGCTTTTCTGCGAGAAAGGAAGGGGGAAAAGGGGTAGAGGAACGACAGCCGAGCGCGGTGTCTTGAGTTGGGGTCCCCCAGGTTGCACCTCCTGATTCCCCGGGGACGCCGCGGACTCTCCTTGCGACCCCGAGCACCTTGAACTGCGCGCGCGTCCCCGCCCGGCCCACTCACCGACTCCGCCGACACGCAGGCCACCAAGCCCAAGGTGAACAGGATCCACACGCGTCGCATATTCCCCGGGGACCGGCTTCTCCCAGCCGCCGCTTGCAACTAGGGTGAAATGAAGCCTCCTGCCCGGCAATCGGCGCAGCCCGCACACAGAGATCTGGATCCGAGTAGCAGCAGCGAGGACGGCGAGAGCTTGGGCTCGCGGCTCGGGGGCGCTCGCTTCTTCCTCCCGCGACTGCTCCTGCCGCCAGCGGCTGCGCCCCCGGAACGTGGCGCTTCTCACTTGTTGGTTTCCCGACTCCAGACGCGGAGCCACGGGGATTCTGGTATTGGAGCCTATTTCTGCTGTTGTATTACTCCTCCGCGGACTTCTGCCCCGGATCGCGGTTTAGTTCCTGATTTCAAGGAATAGAGTCGATAGCTTGAAATACGGATGGAGCTTTAAGTTTGAGGGCTGAGCGGTTGGAGCTCCGGGAGTATCTGGAGAGATGCGCCTCGGGCTGGGGCTAGTGGCTCCGCGGCTGCGCCCCTCCTCCTCCCACCGCCGCCGCCTCCCTCCCGGGTCGTCCTCCTCCTCCTCCTCCTCCTCTGCTCTCCCTCCCTTCCTCCCTCCCAAGCTTGCTTCTCCGAGCTCCTCTGGGCGTCTGGGTGAGAGGAGGCGGCAGTGTGACTCCCAGTTAAACCCGGGAGAAATTCCTACAGGATTACACCCCGATTGGCAGCTCCGAGGACCAGTGGGCGCGGTGGCGCCGCGCTGTGACTGCTTTCGGTCTGTTCCGCCACAAACCAGGACTCCTTCACTGCTCCCTTTCTCGCCTCGCTATTCCTCTCTATACCTCCACGCGTTTTTCTTCTCTATTTTCCTTTTCTTCTTTTTCACCTCTCTCTCTCTCTCCAGAAAGATCGGTGAAGGACACTAAAGACCTATTGAGCTAGCTTTCTGCCTGCAGGAATTAGACTAGTAGAAGGAACCGCTTAAGATTATTTAGGGGGGAAAAAAAGTTTAGTGATGCTTGTAGGCAATGTTAACCCAAGCTTATTGCCATGGAGTCGATTCTGACTTACAAGGATCCTATGGGACAGAGTAGAAACTCTGGTGAAATAGTGGTTAAAACATTTGGCTGCTAACCAAAAGGTCGGTAGTTCGAACCCATCAGCCCTTCCATGGGAGAAAGATAAGACAGTTTGCTTCCGGGAAGATTACAGCCTTGGACACCCAATGGACCCATAGGACCCTGTTTTATAGGGTCACTATGAGTTGGAATCCACTGAATGGCAGTGGGTTTAGTTTTTCAGTATAGGATGGAGTGGAACTGCCCCGTAGGGTTTCCAAGGCTGTGATCTTTACAGAAGCAGACTGCCACGTCTTTCTCTCGCAGAGCAGCTGGTGGGTTTGAACTGCTTAACCACTGAGTCACCAGAACTCCTTGCCCCCTGCCAGACCACCACCAAGCCTCTACCATAGATGATTCAGTGATTGAGTGAATGTGTTGCCTGGACAAGTCCTGTATCTTTTCTTGAGTTTCAGTTTCATCATCCATAAAATGGAAATAAGAATACCTATCGCATAAAGTCACAGTGAAGCCATCTAGAACAGTGCTGCTCACAAAGCAGGATCTCAATGTGTGTAAATTCCTTCTCTGATCCTCCTCTTTTAATGATAGCATAGGGATCCAAAAGGTTACTGACAGGACAGAACAATAGGTTGACTGTTACGTAGAATATATTAGGGATACTAATCATACCAGCATGTAATGAGAGAAATATGATGTTGCCACAACACAGGAGAGGGTGGAATGAGGAGTTTTAGTCAGCAGTGTAGTGGGGCTGTCAGTGGTGGTCCTGTGAGCTGTGGCTATATTAACAAACCTTTTCTCTGAGCATGTTCCAGTGCAACCACTCTTGAAATACGATGTGCAGGTCTGGGTGACATGCTTATTCCAATTGATACAGTGAAAGCTGTATCAGTTGGAATGAGGTCAGAGAAGTTAATGATAACGGAAAATGGATGCTAAAACTAATGTTTTGGGAACACCGAAGGGAATTGAGGCAGCGTTAAGTTTTCATAAATCGCCAGTTCATTAAAATTCTATGTTAAAAGAAAGATACTTAATAAAGCGTATTGAGTATTCCTCACTTACCCCAGCCACCTACACCCATTCCCCGCACCCTACTCTCATCATCCCCTTACTCGCCTTCACCCTCCCTCACCCCCCACCACCAAAAAAAAGGAAAGTGGAAGAAGGTTCTTATAAACCCAAAATGTAACCGTTTTCAAAGCTTATCATTTCATTAAGGGCTTAAATACCATTTCTACCTCATACAGTGTAAGCTCCTAAAGCATTTTATAGGCTCCATTTCAGCACAGAGGTGTCAACGTTTGGAAGCTACAAATAGGGCTATTTGATGAGGAATTGGATGGAGACCCTGAATAATAATAGATACAAGAGAGCTTTAAAGAAAAGAGGGATAAAGTAATTTCTAGTTTGAAGAAAATAATAAGCTTGTGTTTCCTGAATGGAAGTAACTGATTGGAAATAATTTTGTTATGAAGTGATTTTCTTTCAGTTCAGTGTCTGTGGTCTGCTGCCATAGAGTCTTCTGACTTGTAGCAACCCACCATAGGGTTTCCAAGGCTGTAAATCTTTACAGAAACAGACTGCCCCATCTTTCTCCCGCAGAGTGGCTGATGGATTTGAACTGCCAACCTTTTGGTTAGCAGCCCAATGCCTTAACCACAGTACCACAAGAGCTCATTTATGGTCTGTTGTACAACATGTCAAATGTATTTTCCCTTCCATTTGTTAGCACCATCCTTCTCTGTGCTTTATAAAACAAATGAATTATGGAGCAATTCTCTTTCTAGAATGCCCACTCCAGGAGTCCAGGGACCTGTCTTGTTCATTTTGTATTCCTATTCCCCCGCACATAAAAGATACAATAAATATTTCTTGAATAAATTTTGCTCTAAAACAATCTATACCCCAAAAGAGTTCTGAGCCTTTACAATACATGGATATATAGATACTTAAAAAAAAAAAAAAAATTGAACTGTTAACCCATTGCAGCAACCCCACATTACAGAATAGAACTGTACCATGAGGTTTTCCGTAAGGTTTTCTTGGATGGAATCTCTAGGATACAGATTGCTAGGCCTTTCTTCTGCAGTGCCACTGGGTGGGTTTGAACCACCAACTTGATGATAAGTAGTCGAGTGCCAACCATTTATGCTGCCCAGAGACCTTCCATATAGATATGAGGCTACAGTCATTTTGAACTTAGTCTCAAAATACAGTTGTGCCCTAAATGAGAATTGCAATGCCTTTGTAAACCATCACCAAAACACATCTCAAAGAAAGAAATGTAAAGAACTGGAGAGGTACAATTCCAAATCAAGGAGTTTTTAGTGCCAGCTGCCAACTTACAAGTGCCCATGGTTAGAATTAAGGCTTTGGCAGCCTAAAAAGTATTATGTAGGAATAGCAGGGTGGGCAGAAGAGAAAAAAAAAAAAAAAAAAAAAAAAGGCTGAAAGTTGTAACACTGGGTAATTCTAATTCCACAGAAACTTAGCTTGCACCTATGTGCAAAGTGGGTCCCCCTCAGTTTTTGAAAGGATGAACTATGGCTGTATTTTTAAGATGGATTCTTATAGGTTGATGATTTTCATAAGATGGGTAAACTTCTGAAAAGGGGTTTCAGGGGAAGAGGAGCAAAGTGGGAGAAATACAAAGAACCATAAAACGTCATGTCTACCCACAAAAGGACCTAGTCTGCTCTTCAGCCTTCAGACAGGCCACACTGCCTTTACCCCAATGGTTGAATCCATCAAATAAATGAGAATTCCAGTAAAATGGCAAAATGCACTCATTCATTTGTTCTAATGGCACTTGCTGTTTACTGGGGCATCTACTTGACAAGGAGCCAGGTGACTGCTCTCTGACTAAGCTTGAGCGGGCAGTGATAAAAATGAATTAATCAGATAACATCTGTTGAAGGGATCTAGCTGTCTGTTCATCTGATGACATACCCCAAGGTCCTTGGTGTTTATGAGATTCTCAGTGACTTGTTTGTTTTCAAAATTATAATGCAGGCATTAAGAATATGTATAATAAGGGGATTGGTACCATTTTGAGAGTCATACAATTTCAGGTTTTGATATGATAGCAAGTAAATATGTAAGGTCTTGGGTTCAAATGCATTAATAGCAGGTGTGGCAAAAATGATAATCTGTGCTGAGTAGGAAGAGGGATTTGAGGACAGGGAATGCCTGCTAGTGTTTGTCGGGAATGTTTAAACGATACAACAAAGGCCTTTTAAAGGCCTTTTTGTATGTTTTGCTAATTGGACATTTTTTTGTTGTTGTTAACGATTGGGAACTAAAATTCTGTGGAGTATGTGGCGTAGTGGATAAGGAATTTGGCTGCTAACCAACAGGTCAGTGGTTCAAACCCAACATCTCCTCTGGGGAAGGGAGATGGGGCAGTCTAATTCCGTAAAGATTTATAGCCTCGGAATCCCACTGGGGGTGGCTGTAAGTTGGAATCTACTTGGTGGCAATGAGTGAGTTTTGTATCTAATATACTAAGTATAACTTGTGGCTAGAGCCTAAAGGTCTGTTGTTAATACATGTTTCCAAATTTTCTAGGTCGGGGGCTGTTCTTTGATGGGGATAACAAGTAAAATAGTTTAATCAGTCACTTCCCAAGTAGCTTCACTGGTTGCTAAAATAACAAACATCCTACTTAAATATTCGCAGAGGAAAATACCAAAAAAAGAAACAAATATAGAGACCAAAATGCAGAAATGTGAGAAAATAGGAATTAAGGACAACTAGGCAAAATGAAGGAAGGCTGGGCAATATACTTCCGTAGTGATACTGCCTCAGAGGGGTCGCTATGAGTCGGGTGCGACTCAAGGGCAAATAACAAAAACAACATCAGGCAAAATGAGCTCCCGTAGTGTAGTGTCTAAGGCACTTTACTGCTAATCAGAAGGCTGGCGGTTCAAACCCACTAGCCGCTCTTCTGAAGGAAGACTGGGCAATCTACTTCCATAGAGCTACTGCCTCGTCCACCCATGGAGGGATCGCTGTGAGTTGAGTCGACTTGACGGCAGTGACTTTGGTTTTTTTGTAGGCAATATGAACATGGAAGCTACTGAAGACATATTTTCTTATTTTTAAAAAACTGAAGCTGACATATTGGACCCTCCTACATGGAATCTAATGATATCACTTTATAACCACGGACAGAACCAGTGCTTTATCACAAAGTGTCAGAGTTGGGGAAATTGCAAAGGTGGAAAGATGCCGGTTTGTTGTTCTTGATTGTTCTTTCACCACTCCCTGAAACATTAGCAGAGGTCTCAGAAAGAAATTCATTTGGTAGCATCAACCCTGACTAAACTCACTGGAAATTTGACAGACCCTGAGAGTGAGGAAATCCAGCCCATCAAATATGAA